AATTATTGTCGTTAAAAGGTACCTCTGGAGAAAAGCCGGAAGGGGATGGTAAAGAAGAGGTGGAAACCGATATAAAGTGGGAGTTTAGGTCATCAGGTGATATTGGGAAAACTGAGGAAGGGGATCTAGAAGGTTCACAGAGGGAAAGCTTACGAAGTAGAAGCCATTTTGATTTGATATCAGGAGCTGAGGAAAGGGCTTCGTGAAAGTAGTTCGCTTTCGCTTGTCGGATCCTTGTCTGTGTCGTGTTACGAAGCACTCTGAATATTTGATAATCATCTGCAAGCCTAGTCCGTCTGAAGCGTCTGCGTGCAGCGTCGCGTCTCTTCTGCAGATCCTTAATTTCCTGACACATCCAAGGAGCAGGACGATGACGGAAAGTGGAGGTTTTGAGTGGAGCGTGGGTTTTGAGTATATTGAGAAGATTGGTGGTGAGAATATGAACCATGGTGTCGACAGAGGAGCAATGATATATTTCATTCAAATCCAATGTTACTAGATCAGGTAATATTTTTTCTCGAGTAAGGGTATCCAGTTGGCGGAAAGTGATAGTTCGAGGATGGATTGGAGGAGTGCGGATATTATACGTTATTTGTATCAGATCATGAGATGAAAGAAAGGATACTGGCAATTGAGAGGCGGAGAGGAGGTTTTGTGCTGAGTCGATGATGTAGTAGTCTAGCCAAGTGTCAGATCTGGTGGTGTGGTGGGTGGAGGAAAAAGGAACGATGAATAGGTGAAGTGAGAAAAACAGATTTTCTAAATAGGATTTGTCATTGGAGTTTGAGAGGAAATTGGTATTGAGGTCACCGGAGATAATTATTCTGGGATAGAGGGGAACGAAGTTGAATAGAGTTGATTCGAAGGACGGGTCAAATGGCACGAGAGGAGGGCGATATACCACGGCGTAAAGGATAGGAGAAATATTACTGAGAATTTCTACTAAGAGGTATTCTACATGAGGATGATCGGAAGATGGGGAGCAATCGAGGATTCGGGTCTTTAGGCTATTGTGGACAAACATGGCTACTCCACCGCCAGTCCGGTTTACCCGGTCATGACGGAGCAGGATGTAATTAGGCAAGGAGACTGAAGATGATGGAATATAAGGTTTGAGCCAGGTTTCGGATATTGCTATGATATGATAAAAGTTTTGGGTAAAGTATTGCAGGAATTCGTCATAATGGGCAGAAAGTGATTGAGAGTTAACTTGACATGTGATTAGGGAACTAGACATACAGTGGATTTGGAGAGAAACAGTCAGTGTTTGGTAGCGAGAAGACAAAACGAGTAGAAAGTACAGAAAAGCGATTATCGTACATGAAACTAAGTGAAGAAAAAGTAATATTAACATTAAAAATAAATAAAGAGAATGTACTTGAAAATAAATAGATTGATGAGTGACGGTGTAGAGATAGCACTAAGAGAAGAAGTAAGACTATTTTAATGAGGCTAAGGGGTTGACGGCTTCTAGGTAGTCAGTCAAATACATCTAGATCCGAGGCCTGTTCTATCAGGATGACTCTATGTCCGTCCTCTTTTCGACACCGCACCTTTCCGGAAGCAAACCACGTATATTTGATTTTTCCCGCCGCTCTCTTCTGCCGGGCTAGCCAATAGAGGTGTCTGTTTGTGCGAGTCATCTCTTCACCCAGATAAATTCGGTGGCAGTCATTTTCCTGCCAACCGATATCCCGCGTGGAGAAATCCCTCTTCACTTTCCTTTTCGTAATTAGATCATCTCTAATTGATTGCCTGACAAAGCGTGCGATAACAGGCGGTGGTCGCGAGTCATCTTTTCGGCTTCTGCGGCGATGTACGTTGTCCAGGTCCTCCACACTAAGCCTGATCCCCAAGCTTGCTCCTATACTGGTCACCAAAGCAGCGGGCGTTTCGCCCGGTCGCTCCGGTATACCGCGGATCTCCAGTGATCTACTCAATAGTCCTTGCTCTGCGTTATTCAAGCGAACCTCTAATTCGCCCACTCGGGATTTGAGTGCTTTGTTTTCTAATAGTATCTCCTCAAACTTTTTAGCTTGACCTTCCAGATGTTTTTCAATCTTCGTCAGTCTTTCGTTTAGTTCAAAACTGAGCTCTCCGTATTTATCTAGTGCTGTTTTCATGTTTTTTATATCTTCGTTCACGGTAGCGTCTAAACGATTTACTGCCGCAAGTATTTCTGAGGGGGACGGCTCGGTATTTTGTTTTTTCACCTGTTCGCAGTTAGAGCAAACCCATGTTTTTTTAATTATTTTTAATGCTTCGGTGTCTTTATCATTAAGGTTGACGCACCTACCATGAAAAATTATTTTACACTTAACGCAGTGTATATTGTTCTTATCTTCGCGTGCGATAGAGTTGTTGCAAATATTACATTGCACCATTTTTTAAATTTATTAATGAGAATTACTTCGCAATTAAAATATAAATAAATACCAGGACAGTTGACGGTAGTAAACAACGTCTAATGCTGGTCTAATGCTGTTAGGATTAGTAGACGCCTGCCAGCTCGTTGCTCCCAGAACTCTATCAATCTCGCTGCGTTTTCTTTACTCCGATTATTGTGAAGATCCGACACTTAATAGCGTGATTAATAATGGTGTTTTTTTCTTTTAAAAAAGAGAAGAAAAATTTTTGTTTACAAATTCAGAGTAAAAATTACTTTAAATTACATGAAATCTAAGTAAGGCAGTAAGTGTCATGCCAGTAATATTTGGAATCGACCAGACAATACAGCATCAATTAATTTTTTGAATAAAACCTAAAATTTTATAAGCCCATAACAATATTGTAATAGCCTAACTCCCACACCATATGATCAGTGCCTTCAACATTGCACAGCTATTATATTGTTAACAATTATTTATATTAATTTTAATTATTAAATAGAATTCAATGAAATTGATACTAAGTGATTTCTATTCTGTTCTCCAAATTTCCAATATATATATATATATATATATATATAACAGCATATAGAGTGGACGGTGCTGAGGCTGTCGGTGTGTCCCTGGCCTGATCGAAGCTCTATTTTTTTAAATTCTAGCTTTGAAGAGGATCCCATGGTTGACTAATAAAAAGAAAATACCGGGATCGAAACGTCAATAAACAGAAGAAATGAACATTAATTAGTTTATTAAATAACAATTAAGTGACCTTATTCCCAATAAAATAGTGAAGTTTGAATTTAATACTCAAAGGTCGATGAAAGAAAAGTTGTAAATATATATATATATATATATATATATATATATATATATATATATATAATCTTGTTTAGTGTTAACTGCAGGTAAACTATAGACTGCTTTTGCTTCTACAAAACAAGATCTTTATTAATTACAATTTCAAATTAAATAATTCATTAAATCTTAAAACTATACATAGCTACAAAACAAAATCCGTTTTTATAGTTGTTAACTACAATGAAACACGACATTAAACACTTAATAATCTGAAACAATTGCAAACCGCACCACACGGTTATCCCCATCCAACATCACGTGTTAAATGCATGAATTAAATAATTAACCCCAATGTGGGAATTCGTTAGAACCTAAAGCTTCTTTACATCTCTCCTGCTTATGATAGAAGTTTGCTGCTGTGGTATAAATTTGCATCAGAACGATTTCTTTCAGAATCTACTTCATATATTGTTTTAGAAATTTTTCGAATTATTCTCAAAGGACCTTTTCATATTTCTTCTAGTTTATTCCTGTTTAACTTATTGCCTGCTTCTATGTACACTAAATCATTTTTTTAAATGTATAATTTTTCTTGTTTCTATCTATTCTTTCTTTCTTTATTTTATGGTATTTTTGAGAATTCGTGAATGCTTCTTTGTGATCCTCATTCAAGTTTCTGTTAGATCGTAACTCACTTGGTAAAATAGATGATTCAATACCGTACAGTAGGTATAGAGATGAAAATTTAGTTATGCTGTAAGTCGTGCTGTTGTATTCATCTGTACATTACATCATCACTTGTGATCATGGTCCGTTCCGTTGTTCATTTATTTTGCAATGAATTCTATTTAATAAAGTCTGATTTAGACATTCATTTAATCCGTTAGAGAATGGGCATTTTACAGCATTAAAGATTAATTTGATCTTATGAACTTTTAAAAATTGTTTAAACTCATAAGAATGTATACCGGCATAATACTGGTCAGCTAGAAGAATTTTAATTCTATGTTTCTTCACAATTGGTTCTAATATTTTAATGAAATCAATAACTTTTTGACTCGAAGATGGGAGGACAAAAGCGTATCTGGTGAAATGATCTGCCAATAAATGTAAAAATTATTTTGGAGAAAGGTTTCCTGCAAAGCCACCAATTGTGTTAAGCAACATTATTTCAAATGGTTCTTTTGCTGGTCCTAGTTGAGACAAAAGCCCAATACCTCTACTTCTACGTGTTTTATTCTTTATACAAGTATCACATTTATTGTAGAACTCTCGGATAAGTGCATCCATTCTTCTGAAATAATATAGAGGTCCAATCTTAGCTACTATGTGTCCAACTCCAATCTGACTATATAAGTGTGAATTTGTTTGATTATTTGCATTCCAAAATCTTTTGAAATAAATATTCTTTATCTATTTTTAAGTTTTATGTAAATGAGATTTCCTTTTTTATACGTATTTTTCGTAGGACTGAGCTCTTCTTCATTCTGATATTGGTCGTTAAGTATGTTTTCCATGGACACTAAGTTTATAACCTGAAGGACATTGATAGGAAATTTCTCCTCCCTAACAGTAGTATTATTAGCCTTCATTTAAAATCAGTTTTGGAAGATATATAGGGATGTTACTATAAAAGATTCAATAATCAAAAAAGAAAAACATTAAATTTTTATTTCTCACGAAACTGTTTCAAGTATGAAAATGATTAATATGAACTTTTTTTGTCTCAATTGAGGTCTAAATTCAGCTCACGAAATTTCTTGGTCCTACATTTTCATGTCAATTTTAAGCTTTTTTTTCCTTGATATGTTGCAGATATTGTTAAAATTATAACCCCTCAAGGAAAACTTAGATCAAGTAGAAAGCAGGTATCTGAACTACACTTTGACTTTCCTGTTGAATCTGTTGGTGAGTTATTACAATATTTCTCGATTATGTTTCTTGTTTTTTAATGATTTGATTTATTCTAAAGCTAATACACTTTTGTTGTATACAAATAATTATTATTTTCTAATCACTATTTTTTACTTTTTTCCTAGTTTGCTTACCTGATAGCGTTCTTGTTTTCCACAAACATGGAGTTCAAGGGCGGAGTTTGAAAAACGGTGAAGTGACTCAGGAAATTGTTGATAAAAGCAGAGTTTATAAACTTCTTGGCTCAGACAAGTAGGTTGATTTTTATTGAAGCTAAACAGTCAACTATTCTCATAATCCAAAATATTTATTACTAATTTTTGGAAGGTGTGGTGAATTGTGAGGTATAGATAGCAATACAAATGCCAATATCCAATCTCAACGGCTTCTGGTCAACAGTTTCTAGTCTTCTCAATCCAATATTTATTGTCCTGCAGATCTCTATGCACTATAGTTGGCTCGAAGGAAATGTTGAGATTGATACAGGAATCAAAGAACTTTTGTTACGGATAATTCTTTTGTGTATAAGGAACAGACCATCTTTCTATGAAATGTTCACATAGAGAAAACTACTTTCTATTTTTTTTTTTCCATCTTCCTATTTGCTTTACAGTGTGTAGTGGCCTCAACTCATTTGCCTTGGCCATCTTGGTCCTTCTCAAGTACTCTCTCATAGTAATTAAGCACTTGTAACTGCTTTTTTCTCTTGAGTGTTAATGTCCTATGCCTTCTTGTAACACCTCCTCGACCTCTTTCTTGTTATAGGAAACAGGAAAAATGTAATTATAAAATTAATCATCACATTCAGATGATGCTACTTATCTAAAATACTGCTGCAGTCCTACAACAATTTTCAGGGGGCCTAGAACATTTGAAGTGATTTTCAACAGAGCTTCTCCTCCTCCTGTCTCATATTGCTTTCATTTGATTAGGTACTAAAATGTTATAAAAATGTGATTGGTGATTTGAGGGAAGAAAATATGCGAAATATGTATGCCACTCCAACAGCTTCATCATTATTAATTTTGTGTACTTTTTGTACAGTAGACTTTTTGTGTTTTAACAATAAATTATTTTCCTAGCATGTGAGTAATCCTTGTAGATGTGTAAATATATTCTATTACATTTGGCTACCAACCTAGCTATGCTTCACTTAGTAATTCTTTTTCTTCTTATTTTTATTAGTGGCTATTAAAAATACTATTTACTTATACTAAATTACTGTTTATCAGAATAGAATAGCCTTCTTTTTTTTTTATTCTATTTATGATTAGTATTTATTATATTATATTAACATTAAAACAAAAAACCTGTACCACTACAACCCATGAAGGGTCTTGGGTGCAGTACTATGTGAGGAAGTACTGTTACAGAGCCAATAGTTATGCAGGGAGGTGATTAGGATAGTGTGATATCACGCTCAACCGTCGGGTATATTAATTATTGGGTATATAACATTAATTAGGTACACAGTATATATACAGGTACACACAATATATACAGGTTGGTAGGTATACAAAATATAAACAGGTATTATATTAATTAGGAATTATATTAATATTTAACAAGAGATTTATTATTTTTGTAACCAAATTCTTTTTATTTAGAGTTGTAGCACTTGAATCAAATATGGTAAAAGCAGGATCAACAACAGAAGAAGGTGCAGATCTTTATATCTTGGCAGGACATGAGGCTAGCTATTAAATATTCGCTCAAATAGTCAAATATATTTTAACGGTAATTGTTGTGGTTGTGTTACATGTAAATACTTTTTAATTATATACCTCTTTGAGTTTAAGGACATTTTTAATTTAACGTATACATTGTTAGCTGTTAAGTTGTTAGTATTTTAAATATGTTGCATATAATTAATTATTACTATTGTGATATTAGGATTTAATAAAGACTGCGTACTTTGTAATTTATTGTAATACAGGTTGTTTATTATCATCTTTATAGAGAAGTAATGAATAAATATTGGATATTTATGTTTCCTGCAGCTAATCTAAATAAAAGTTAATGGAAAAATATTTGTTTGTATAACAACTTCTTAAGATATTAATTTTTAAAAACTTATCTTTTTGCTCTATGGAAGTATGCATTAAGATCAATATAGATTGTAAATACATTATATAATAATAATATTATATACGAAGAAACCATAAATATATTTAAAGTGAATACATTGTAAAGATATATCTTATGACTGGTGTAAATATTTATTATATTTTTATTTATTATTATTTTTTTTATGTTTAACTGTTATATTTTACAGTCCTATGAAGTTTCAACAAAATTAAAGGAACAACTTTTCATTAAATTTCAGCATTTATTAATTTAATTTTGTGTACAATAGTTGCTGTGTTTCTAGTCAAATTCTATTCCTATAGACAAAAAATTATTTGAGGAAAATCACTAATATTTTCTAAAATATATATTTTATATTTATTGCTGCTGATACCTAAATCTTTTTCTATCATTAGTATTGATATACATGTATATCTAGTGTCTCGTGATTTCATTTCTGTCTATAGATTTGTTTTTAAAGCCAAATCATTTCCTATTCTTAATTCTTTGGAATAACTTTGTTGGGATATTATATATGGTGAAAAGATGTTGCTGAAGATATAAACTGTACTATTCAAAATAAATATGAAATATTCTATTTAAGTTGGGTTTCATTTAAATTGTTTTTAAACCTTAGAAGTTCATGTACCTGTGAATGTAATATTTTTACCCCATCATCCTAAAAAGTTCAGTTATAATCAAAATGAATTAGATCACCAGTATGATTTAAAAGTTGAATTCTGCTAAGAAGAGGGGGTCACAGTCAATGGGTCTCCGATTTCGACTAAATTTCTTTTGGTGTTTCTGCATCCAAAAATATAGTATGTATCTCCTGGTATTTGTTCAAATGGGTCTTGGGATGGCGTGAAATAAAATTATAATAATAATAAAATGCTTAGCGAACCCGAAGGTTCGATTCCGACACCACCAATCGCCGTCCAAACTCTGTCCCTTCAGATCGGCTTTAATGCAATTTTCCCACCTTCGCTTCGGTCTACCCCTCGGACGCTTACCATTCGGCACAGCAAATATTAACCTTTTAGGAATTCTCTCGTTACTAAGCCCAACAACTTTACAAGCCCATTTGATTCGCCGCGATGAAATTACCTCAATTATATTACCCGGATACAGCTCACGCAATTCGGCGTTGTGTAACCGTCTGAACTCTCCGGTTAACTCATCCTTCTTCGGTCCGAATATTCTACGCAATACTTTTTTCAAAAACCTTAAGACGCTGCTCATCCCTTAATGTAAGCGGCCAAGTTTCGCATCCATAAAGAACTGTAGGCAAGATAATTGTTTTATATATTCTAATTTTTAAGTTGCGGGACAAGAGGCGCGAACTAAGTAGTTTTGTCACAGAAAAATAACAAGCGTTTCCCGCCTTCAGTCTAACCTTAATCTCTTCTACAATTTCATTTTTTCTAGTTATCGTAGAACCTAGATACCTAAATTTATCTACCTGTTCAAACATATTACCATCTATATCGATATCACCAGTAGTAACTCCATTTTTGCAGCTAACCATATATTTTGTTTTATCCACGTTTATTTCGAGTCCTAGTTCTTTACCGGCTTTCATTAACGTTGTCGTATTTAGTTTTATAGTTTCAACGTCTTCGCTTAACAGTACCAGATCATCAGCATAGCCCAGCACGGATGTTGTCCCGCCCAGATCCAACCCTTTCTCGGTTCGCATTACCTCCCTAATGGCATGTTCTAATGCCAAATTGAACAGGACAGGCGAAAGAGAATCCCCCTGTTTTAAGCCCGAACGAACCTCAAATTTTTCGGACAAATTATTACCGATTCTAACTTCATTGAGTGTCTCCGTGAAGCACATCCTGACTAGATTTACTAGTTTTTTTGGAATCCCCAGCTCGATTAGAATATTATACAGTTTCTGGCGGTCAATAGAATCGTAAGCCTTTTTAAAACCTATATACAGCTGGTGAACAATACCGTTATACTCCAATTTTTTCTCTAATATTTGCCGTAAAGAAAATATCTGACCAATAGTCGAACGATTCCGTCTAAATCCGCATTGGTAGTCTCCGATAATTTCCTAGGCGTATTCCGTGATTCGACTTGTTAAGATTAAAGTGAATATTTTATAACATACCGGAAGGAGTGAAATTCCTCGATAGTTATTACAATCCGTCCTCGGACCCTTTTTGTGAATCGGAATAAGAATTGATTCTTTCCATTCTTCAGGTAATTTCTCGTTCACCCAGATCTTTTTAACCAACCGATGTATTTTAGAAACTCCAGCTTCCCCGCATACCTTAATTAGTTCAGTAGGAATATTATCGATTCCCGCTGCTTTATATGGTTTTAATTTTCCGATAGCTACTTCAACTTCCTCTTTACTTGGTCCTTCTATTAAAGGTTCAGCACTCTGGTACTCAGAAGGAGGACACAGATCATAATTTCCCGTATTTAAAATATTGTCAAAGTGGTCCTTAAACTTATTCAATATGTCAACCGGATCGGTCAGAATATTGTTATTATCATCCCTAATTCCAGACATTATGGGCCCTAGAGATTTACGTGATCTGTTTATACCTTTGTACATGTCTCTTACGTTATTTTCGATTCTATTAGTTTCTATTTCAATTATTTTATTTTTAAGATACTCCCTTTTTTTATTTTTGAGCAATTTTGTCGTTTCGTTCTTTGAGACTCGGAAGTATTCCAGATTGTCTTCGCTAGGATTATTTAGAGCTTTTAATTTAGCGGCTTTTCTTTTTTCACACATGTTTAAGCAATCTTCATCAAACCACGGTTTGTTATTCTTATTTTCCTTTTTTCCTAGACACGAGCTACCGACCGCTTTAATATTATTTCTGATCTCTACCCATAACTTGTCAATATCATCGTCGTCCTCGTCAGGAATCTCTAAAGCTTCAAACCTATTCTTAATATCTAGCTTGAATTGGGTTCTAATTGATGGATTTTTTTATTTTTCCAAATTAAAATTCTCAAAATGGAGACGGTTTTCTTTTCTCTTTTTTATATTAAGTTTTTGTCGAAGTTTCGCGATTACTAATTCATGATCCGACCTACATTCTGCTCCACGATAAGACCGTACATTAATTATACTGCTTTGACAGCTATGTTGTATCAAGACATGACAGATTTGATTTCGTGTTTGCGAATCCAGTGATGTCCAAGTATATTTATGAATATCCTCATGTTTAAATGTCGTACTTTTAATTATCAGGTTTTTCGAGATGGCAAAGTTTATCAGATGGATCCCACTATCATTACTATATTCGTGTAAACTTTCTTTACCGATCATCGGAATATAAACTTCTTCCATTCCTACCTTTGCGTTCGCGTCACCTATAATTATTTTCATGTAGTTTCGCGGTAGTTTATCATAAACCCATTGAGTTTATCGTAAAATTCACTTTTGACTTCATCGTTCACTGTCTTCGGTTGGACAATGTATGTTTATTAATGCGATTTTAAACCAACGTCCCTGAAATATAGCTACCGAAATTCTATCACTAAAGAATTTATGTCCCTCAAAGCGGATAGTAATCTATTCCTAATTAGAAATCCGGTACCTAAACAATGATTCCCGCTTCCTCCGTACCAAATAGTGTACTTTCCTTCCCTCATCGAGCGCTCCCCTGGCCAGCGAACCTCTTGCAGAGCCACGACATCCAAATTGTACTCATTTACCTCATTCGCGACCGATTTTAGCCCTCCTGCTGTGTTTAAACTCCTTACGTTCCATGTACCAATATTTAAATCCCTATATTTCAACTTGCGCCATGAATCCCCTAAAGCAGTCCCGACCCGGAGACCCGAACGGGGGACTAGTTTACCTCCGGATAATGAGCGTTTTATCTTAGGAAGATCCATGACTATTTGTGGTGTTTGGTGAACTAAAGATATGTGAGTAGGGCTACGTCACACCCTCCAGCAAGTCTGGTAGACTCCTACCTCCAGCAAGTCTGGAGGGCCCCTCTCATTGTTGGTCAGCGAGTCCATCGGACTTAGCCGGAAGGAATTTCCACCGACCATCCGCCACCCATGGGATGCTCCCCATATGCGGTAATGAACCCGCCCGAGGGTAAAATAAAAATAATTTACCCTCTTCTTTACTTCTTTACTCCTGTTGTTCTACACCTACAAAAAGCAATATTCGTATTTTTTTACAGTATATAATGTGAAAAAAAATAATCTCCAGAAAACGTAATTAGTTTAAGTTTATATAGAAAGTAGACATAGTAATTTAATTAGTACAAAATTAATTTCTTTTAATATGTGAATATTTTTCTCCTGATTGGAAAATGGAATTTGAAATTCAATAAGGGTGGATTTTAAGCTTCCAAAGGAAACTTTTGGTAGCCTCAGATAAACATAAACAATGCATTAGGTGTTTTAAATTTTGTAGGGGAAGGGGATTGGCGATCCTTTACTTTTGTGTATGGAATTCACCTGATACACAATTGCCCCTAATCAAGTTTTTCACTGTCTAGGATATTTATTGGTGCAGGATTTCTGTACAAGAAGTATGAAGATGGCAAGTTCAAATACACAGAGAAATTGTTACTACTAAATCCTAAAATGTTTTTTATGTAGGAGAAAATGTGTCAATTAACATGAAGTGGTCCAATGCTGGC